TATTATTATTATTATTATTATTATTATTATTATTATTCTGATTCCCATGTAAACAAAATTCTCTACTTTCTCGAAGTTAAACTTGTCAGCAGTGTCGCAGATACCAAGGCGGGAACGCGCAGACTGTTTGTTTGATGACAGGAGATACTTCGGCTCGTCTTCGTTTTCCAACAGACTCATTGGCTTTTCTTCCTTATCCAACATGGAAAAGGCAGAATGGGCTCGCGGTGTCTGTTCTCGTTTTTTGTGTTTTTTTGCTTTTTTAAAAACTACATTAAACTACCTACAATCTTAAGCATTTTTAAGGCATTATTTGGGAACGTATCAGACATAGGAGCTTTCAACCTTTTTTTTTAAGCGACGGGTGTAGCCGCTGGATAAACAATACATACAATACAGCAATAGTGAAAAATAATGATTGTTGTGAACGATACGGCCGCAAGCGAAAAAAGTCTTGTAACAAAGTTCAATAAAAGGAACCACTTCCGAAATCGAGAAACAGATGACTTTTCAAGAAGTAGAAGAGGACCAGAAAGTATTTCCTTACCTGAGATCCAAAAACGACATTTTTAACAATTTTAACAAACTTTAAAGTAGTTATGTTATACCTGATTTTACTCAACATGGTTTTACTTAAACCATGGCTTTACTTATATAGTTGTTCGGTTGATTTAAAATTAGTTCGCTGTTTTAAAAACTACATTAAATTAGCTGAAATTTGATGTATGACAATTTTGGAAAAACTGTCACTATTTGGAAAATCCTAACGAACAAATTTGAAATTTTAGGCCGTGTGGGTAACTTTCACGTTAGCTGTATTAAAAAACTGACTACGCCGTTCGAATTGGCGGCTTATTCTACATAAGGTTTGGTATCTTTTGTTTTTATCTTGGGCAAAGTGAATGTTTTTTCGTATAAAAATATAAACCTATGGTAAAACAGTCTTTTAAATTGCAGATTTCGCAGTAGCTCATTCAGTTTTCGCAATATTGATTTTTTTTTTCATTTTGTTAGGTTCCTAGCGCCCTAGTTTCCTATTCTGCTGCCAGAGGAAGGATCTGAAATACTTTAGCAAAATAAGGCATCTAGTGGACAGCCATCAAATCTCTTTCTTAGAAGTATATGGGTTTCAAATGCATCACGCCCTCTTTTCATGGCAAATAGTTTATATTGTATCTAAAATACATACAGAGAAATGTAGTAAGAAAAATTCAGTTTGTGTGGGATGTGCCAATTCCCATTTTCAATTTCATTTTTCATTTCATTTCATTTATTTCGGTTCAGGCATTAGTGCAATAAGATTCAATCTTTTATAGTACAACAATGATAAAAGTAAAGATAATGCTTATTTATTTATATATTGCAAATTAAAATTCTAAAATATATACAAACGCATATGACACATTCAATTAAACAGAAAATAACACGGATACATAAAACTTATAACATATATACAAACATTATGGTATGTTAACAAAGCTCAAAAAATCACTTAATTATATATTATTGCAAATATGTAGATGGTTCATCAATTTTTAGCGAAATAATTATAAAGAGTATTTATGAAGTTGCTTCTGTTGATTTTGCTCCTAATGGTATTGACCCTAATTTTCTACCTCGATTATGGAATTAATTTTATATGTACATCTCGATGCAAAGTTACAGCACTGTACCATAAATATTTCCAGAGATATGAATGTACGTAATAGTATAAAAAATTCAGTTTGTATGGGAGGTGCCATGCCTCCTTTTTCAATTACCTTTATTTTTCTCCATGAGTATGGGACTGGTTTCTTATATCTCCTTACTAGGTTCTAGTACTCTCCATTTGTATGGAATCTGCCACACGCCCTTGATATATCCAAATTATTTGTATCCTATGGCCAGCAAGGGAAAGCCTGCTGTAGGTGTACTAAATTTAGTTAAGATTCGTCATGCGGTTTAGGACGCAACTGCGGACATATATAATTTGTGGCGCGAGCTAAAAAAGTCGACCGGGAAAAAGGCGCATAAAAAACTTCAGCGGAGAAAGACTTTTAACGTAGTTGACGGCGAAGACGGACGCGTAAACTTATTTACATGATCAACTATGTTTGCGGGTGTAACAGTATGTAAATTCCCCAAAGAGTTTTTGGGGAATGATGCTGAAGTCACAGTCCTTGGCCAAGTATAAATCGATGATTACGCGTCTTTCTTCGCCGAAGTTTTTCTTAAGCGCCTTTTTTCGTAAATTTTTTTTATGCGTCTTTTTTCGCCGTCGAAACACTAGCGCGCCTTTATTCGTGTCTAGTGCCGTTATGTACTCGTAAGTGCATAGAATAATGCGTTATTTTACGTTTTTTAATATTTCTAACAAGAACGTAGCAAACATTTATTTATCCTAGCATTTTTAAACATTAATTTCGCACAGTTTGTTTTTTAGCTATTGCGAAAATCAATACAATTACTAACTTTTTTTGCGAGTCAGCATAATATCATGTTCTGACCGACATCGAAAATATTTTTTGGTTGCTAAAACTGTCTTTCGACCTAAAACACTAACAGCCGGTGTGAACAGCCTTCAGCCAACAATCCCAAAACTCGTTTTCAAAGTGTTTTCGTTGTCGGTCAGAACATGGTATAATGAACAAATTTCTACGCATCTTCCACTACAAATTCAAAGTTAAACAATTTTACGCAAACTGCTATTGCATTGACTTTGCTTTAATTTATGAAAAATTTACTACCATTTCCCTTGAATATTTTAGGTTGCTGAGTGTCACTTAGAAGGTCGTGAAGTCATGATGGTGACAAGTGGCGCAGTGGCCTTTGGCAGTCAAAAATTAGCACAGGAATTGCTTATGTCACTTTCAATGCGTGAAACCCTGTCACCAAAAGATCCTACGCGCGCAGTTAGTAAACACAAACAGTTTGGTAAATAAGTATCTGTTTTTATTAAATTAATTTTACAGGAGCAGGGAACGCTGCTTGAACCGAGAGCTGCAGCTGCTGTGGGTCAATCTGGTCTCATGTCGCTGTACGACGCTATGTTTGCTCAGTATGGCGTGAAAATTGCTCAGGTATGTGTACATACCAATTAAATTGCTAATTATTTCGATTAGTACATATGTATATAATTCACAAATTTTCGGCTATAGGTTCTCGTAACTAAACCGGATTTCTACAACGAGGAAACACGGAATAACCTATTTTGTACACTTTCCGAACTGATTAGCCTTAATATTGTTCCGATTATAAACACCAACGACGCTGTTTCGCCACCAATGTTCTTAAAAGATGACGATCTACCAGTTGGTTCGAAGAAGGTAATTGGTTCTAAGAAATAGGGATAATTGAAGCTAAACTTTGTGTTTTTAGCAACATGTACTAATATTTTATTAGAAGTCCACTAAATATGTATGCCGTCACCTGAAATGCAAAAAGACGTAACAAACATCATCGCTGAAATGCAAAAAGTCATAACTAATAAAAAATTCAAATTTTACTTTTTGATTTATATGATGGATTTCATAAAGTTACAACTACCCACATCATTTTATGAAAAAAATAAAATAAAAATATCAGTCACGACCTTTTCCATTTCAGTTGCGATGTTGTTACGTTTTTTTGCATTTCAGGTGACGATGTATGTACATTAATATAGGCTGACCTCCAAAACGTCAATTGCATTGCATACGTACAAAGTTTAAAGTTCCATAACGCCGAACCACAATTAGTTAACAATGTATACTTTTCCAAAACGCATCCGAAATGTTATCGAAACGCATCGCTAGAGTAATCAGCGCATCAGAAACAAAGTAGATGCTTCGTTTGTTTTTGGTAACCATTGGTGTTTTAAAAATGGAAAATTCTGAAATGGTAATCATTGTTTTATTAAACATTCAAAATATGCAATATATATGGTTGCAATGCAGCAGAACAGTGTCCAAACATTTAGGGGATTCACAAGACGTGTTAACCGTCGTAAAATCTTAAGCTTAACACTTGTTTATGTAAAATAGCGGTTAAAATGGTTGGGGGGTTGGCTAATTATATATTCTTTATCAGTTTAAAAGAATTTCGGTTTAGTTAGAAATCCCCTAAAACCATTTTAATTAAAAAAGATGTTAACCTTAAGATTTTACGACGGTTAACACGTCTTGTGAATCCCCTAATTGTATTGGTACGTTTTGGAAGTCAGCCATACAATAGAGGCCAATAGCACAACAAATACATACATGTATTGGTCCTTAGTATTTAGTTTTCCTTTTTTTTATTTAATACTAGCCAATGCCCGCTTACTTCGCGGCGCCTAATAAGAACTTTTCGTTGGCCAATGCAAAAGAGCGTTTAAAAGCAAAAATTTACTGCAATGTTACATTTTTGGTTTAAGGTGAAACCACTAAAGCGCAATATCTTCCTCGCACATAGGCCAATAATAGTAACGCCGTGATACCATATGGAATACGAATCCCTTTCGGTGTCATGAGCCTTACCGATGTTCTTAACCTGCAGTGAAATCCCAAACTAGTCAGGAATAATACTAGTTTACAACTAGAATTTCCTGACAGAAACCAAACTAGTTCGAAAATTACCANTTTTATTTGACTTCGACAGTTTAATACTATAGAGTACACCAAATATTATAACTTTTATTTGGGTATATTGATAACCGTTAATTGCTTAAAAAATAATTCAATTAATTCGTTAACTTTAATTATCATTATTTTGTTATTTTTGAAAACTTTCAATTATTTTTGACTTTCTTTAATCTATATATTATTCTGAAACAAGGCGCTTATTCCCAGCGATCTACAAATCGTACAGAGACATATTATATATCAAATTAAAGTGCCCGATCTGAAACTTTGCACAAACTTTTCAGATTTAAGATTCATTGAGCCATTTTGGAAATATTTGCGTCGAAATATTTTAAAATTTTTACATTGAGCAAAGCATTGCTACGTTCATTTCGAGAGGCAGCGCCTCAGCGGGACATATGAGAAAGGAAAATTGTTCCATTTATTCGCTTTCGTCTCTGCTTTTGTTTCATATCGATCAAAGCATTGCTACGTTCGTGTGCATGTAGGCAGCGATGCAGCGGAAGATCTGCAAAGATAATGTTCCCTTCGTCTCTGTACATACACAAAATTGTTGCATATACACACATTCATTCATACACATTTGTTAAGGCACAAGTGCCAAACTATCAACAACAATATTGCTTCGTTCGTGTTCATATACGCAGCGCTACAGCGGGACATAGAATGAAAAATTGTTCCATTTATTCGTTTTCGTCTCTGTTTTTGTTTCATGTCGAGCAAAGCATTGCTACGTTCATATGCATGTAGGCAGCGATACAGCCGAAGATCTGAAAAAAGATGATGATTTTGGCTTTGTACATACACCCATATGTGCATCTTTCATGGTTTCTTTTAACGTTTTTTTCTAACGAGAAATATGGATCTATATTACAAACATATACATGTCTTTCTCCCTTTTCTATAAGTTTTGATTGAAAGGTAGTAAAGAAATTCCAACGATAGGAATAACAGTGGCTCTAAAACTGCAAATGGGCACAAACATACATAAGTACTTTACGTTACAGTTATTTGCGAGCTCTGGTATGTATGTATGTACATATGTGTCAAGGCAAAAATGCGAAAACTATCGGCAACAATATTTGTTTTGTTCTGTTCGTGCTATTTGCAACAAGCAATTTTAGAAATTTTGATTTTCCAAACCATAAAAGATACAATAAACGTTTATAAAATGTCAGGTGAAAGGTGTATAAGGCGAAAGCGAAGTTTAACAAGTCGAAGAGAAGAGGTGACTTTTATTTAAAAAAATTGAACTTTTAGAGCCGCAGACACGTATCTTCTATGGCAAGTTCTTTCAAAGCAGCCTTAAACCCTGTAGTTCTTCCGGAATATAGTTCACTTGGGGGCTTAACAAGTACATGCTTGCAGTGCAAAGCAAAACATTTCAGCAGTGAAAAGGAAAGTCTATACCTTTTATTGTTTCATAACTTATAGTCTTAACACGTATTTGAAATTGCTACATTTAGGTAAGAAATGGCTTTGCGACATGTTGTCACGCTGGAAAAGTCAAATTTCCAGCATTACCTGTACCTGAGTTTTTAAAATCTGTGTTTGAAAACGATTTGAGCTCTTGGCGCCGACATTACTTGGAGCACATACGGCAACTAAACAGTTCGTTTGCTTTTGCATCATTCGAAGCGAAAATTGCAGAGCCAACAGGACGTGGACCATATTGCTTCCTAATACATGGATCCATATATCATAGGGTGGGTCCATTGCATGCAGATAATCCCGCCGAATCATCCTACGCTCAGCTGTATATTCTTGACACGGATCAAGCAATTGATATTAGGGCGCAACACAACTCAAGTTGCGACAAGTCTTTACTGAAAGAAATTCATGAAATGCTTTCGAACATTAACCCCTTGGCCCGTGAGTATAAGCATATGGCGCAGGTAGAACGTGAAGAAGAGCAGAGAGAAAGAGAAGAAAATCCAGGACCGCATCAGGTTAGCATGCTACTTTTTAACAGCGTTAGTGACCTGCAAGTCGAAATTTGCGAATATTTCCGCGTAACTCTGACATGCGGAACTTATCATTTGTGTCAACGCTACACAGATTATGTGATCCTTTAGTTTATCCCCTTTTGTTTCCATATGGCGAGCCTGGATATGATGAAACTCTCCTGCATGAACAAGATCAACGAACGGAGCATAGATTTAAATTAACACAACTGCAGTTTGTTTCTTATCGCATGGCGATTAGAGAAGGTTTTAGTTTGCTTCGTGTCTCAGGTAAACTTTGGCAACAGTATTTGGTTGACCAATACGTCAGAATTGAAGGAGCACGTCTGGCCTTTCTGTGCACCCATCAGAAAGAACTACGTGTTGAAACATATGCTGGTTTGCATGATTATTTAATACGTAGATCCAATATTGAAAATGTGCGTCCTGGCCGTATAGTTGTTCTGCCTTCAAGTTTTGTTGGCTCCCCTCGCAACATGAACATGAATTACCAAGATGCCATGGCTATTGTGAGAAAACATGGAAAACCGTCTCTTTTCATAACGTTCACATGTAATCCCAAATGGCCAGAAGTCGTTCAAAATATAGAAAGATACCAAGGATCGGAAATGCGTCCAGAGCTGATAGCCCGTGTTTTTAAACAGAAACTCAAAGAGCTTATGAAAGATATTTCACAAAAGCATGTGTTTGGGAAAGTAAAATACTACCTATATATCATTGAATTTCAGAAGAGGGGTTTACCTCATGCCCACATATTGGTAGCCCTTCATGAGGAGGATGTTATTCGTGAGCCTTCTAAAATTGACCTGGTTGTTTGCGCTGAGATTCCTAATAAGGAGACAGAGCTTGAGCTGTATGAAATTTTGTCGAAATGTATGATTCATAGCCCGTGCGGCATACTTAATCCATCATCGCCCTGCATGACTGCTGATACTGGAATTTGCTCAAAAAAGTATCCCAAATCTTTTCAAATTAATACGCTTTCAAATGTAAACGTCTATCCCCAATATCGTCGCCGCAATGATGGAAATAAAATAGTTGTTCGTGTCAGTCAAAATTCAGTTGAATTAGACAACCGATGGGTAGTCCCCTACAGTAAATATCTGACCAAAAAATACAATGCTCATATTAATGTAGAAACATGTTCATCTATAAAGAGCGTAAAATATCTTCACAAATATATTTACAAAGGCTTTGATTGCGCAACCGTTCAAATTATCGAACAACAAATTGATCGTGCGGTTTTTTATGATGAAATATCTACATTTGTAGATGATCGATATGTTAGCGCTCCTGAAGCCTGCTGGAGGCTTTTAGAGTTTCCCATGCAAGAAAAATCCCACACGGTGAAAACACTTGCAGTTCACTTGCCAGAGGCACAAAATATTTTTTTTCGTGAAAATAACGCTGAAATAGCTGATACCCTTTCTCGATGTCGCGATACCACCTTAACCGCATATTTCAAATAAAATACTGTGGATTCTTTTGCTAATACTTTGTTGTATTATGAAATTCCTGAATACTATACTTGGCAAGAAGCGTCGCGCTCATGGCAAAGGAGGAAATGCCAGGGCAATGCAATTGGCAGGATGTATACGGTCGATCCAAAAAATCGTCAACTTTTTGCTTTACGTTTATTGTTAACTTCGCTAAAAGGACCAAAGTCCTTTACAGATTTATTGACTGTGAACGGGGAATACCTGTCCTCTTATTAGGAATCAGCAGTAAGGAGAAAGTTGTTGGCGGACGATACGGAATGGA